CACCACGCACGCGGCACGCACAGCGCACCGCCGCACACACACACACACACACACACACACACACACACACCACACATTACACGCACCGCATCCCAGTTTATTGTGTGTGCGTGTTCACTTGTTTTATTTTGTAGGTTTGACGAGTTTTTGAGCGCGTCGCTGGCGCCGCTGTTTAGCTTGTGTAGATCACGCACGTGAAATGCTTTTATTTCTTAGAGATTTGCGTTTGATTTCGATAGTTAGGTGTTAGAAGGAGTGATGTCAGTTGTAGTATTGCCATTCAAGATAGCTGGGCATGTCGGCTGGCATACGTTGTGCATTAAACTTAGTTGGTTGTTTTTTTTGTTTGTGTTTCCATTTTTTGTTCGCATGCGTGCGAGGCGTATTAATCAATATATGAATGAAACAAAAATGCATCATGGGTTAAGATCGTAAGAGAAGAGTTCAAGTCGGCTCTCTCTTTCTCTCTCTCTCTCTCTCTCTCGTCCTGCTCTCTTCTCCTCTCTCTCTCTCTCTTCCTCTCTCTCCTCTCTCCTCTCTCTCTCGTCGCTCTCTCTTCTCTCTCTCCTCTTTCTCTTCTCTCTCTCATCTCTCTCTCTCTCTCTCTCTCTCTCTCTCTCTCTCCTGGCTCTCTCTCTCTCTCTGCTTCTCTCTCTCTCTTCTCTCTCCTCTTCTCTCTCTCTCCCTGCCTCTCTTCTCCTCTCTCCTCTCTCCTATTGTGCTCTCTCTCTCGTCCGTCTCCTCCTTGATCTCTCCTCTCTCTCTCTCTCTGCTCTCTCTCTTCTCCTCTTCGCATCTCTCTCTCTCTCTCTCTCTCTCTCTCTTATCTCTCTCTTCTCGTCACGCCTCTCTGCTCTCTCTCCTCTCTCTTCTTTTTTTCTCTCTCTCGTCACTCTCTCACTCTCCTCTTCTCTCTCTCTTCTGTCTATGATCTCTCCCCTTTTGATCTCTGCTTGCGCTTTGCATATTTAGCTTGGCTTTTTATCTACTCGAATCTTCATGTTTAATTTTCACTGGTGCCGTCCGATTTTATTCGAGAAGATCAAGTGAAGCTATTACGTGCCGAAAGTATCCGGCATAATGTGACATAGCTATTGAGTTTTTTACACGTCCAATTAACGCAGTTACGCTAGCGTCGTCCAGCAAACTTAAACCCCGATTAATATCTCGCAGCCTGTATTATTATAATTTCATTGTGACCGACTCGACTGGCTGGCTGATTTTCATCAGGTGCTTACAAAGCACACCGCGTTTTCTTCTCACCAGCGACCCGACGAGCGTGACATTGGGTGTCAAACTACGGGCGAGTACTGTTAAGCAGACTCACGCCTGGCGTCGCCGCGTTTGCTTCACCAGTAGTGCAATCACCCGGGCTGTATGTGGAGACCGGTTTACATTTCGTCAAGACTTCTCCCTATAATTACTCAGCCGATTTATAAGTTCTTTGTACGTAATTTTTTTACGCTATCTATCAGGATGCTAGCTAGCACGGGGGGTAGCGACCAAGATGAAAGCTCGCGTAATGACTCGGCCCGACCATAATGATGACGTCGCGACAATTTCAGTGACCGACAACATCGACGTCGCATACGTCACGTCGGCTCTCATGGCAACCCAACCACCTCGATACGCACTGTTTGCTGTTTGCCGAATGGCGACCCATTGTTTCCAGCTCAACCACTGACGTATCTGACCGGCGTTGCTAATGCGCGACCCTGTCCCTTCATCACGTCGCGGTCCAACCGTTTGTTCATTTTGCGTACCCCTGTTAACAACTCAAACACGTCGTACTGCGTCTACCGGTCGCCGGGGGCCCTCTCCTGCGCGGCTCGCACGATGAGTCGTGGCCCCGACACGTTAAATGATAAACATCGTTTCAGTGACCGCACCTCGCGGTCGCACGTCACCTCGCCATTGTGCAGCCAACCACTCGGAACGCTCGTTGCGCTTTGCCATGGCGACCCTGTTGCGTCAAAACACGACGCATCTGACCTTTCAGATGCAATGGGTGCACCTCTGTCCCTTCATACACGTCGGCGTCTCCAACCCTGGTTTTCACTTCGGCCCGGGGACCTGCTCATCCGTCTCTGTATTCTAAGAAGGCCGTGTTGTGTCCCTGCGACCCCCGTTCGACTCCTCTGCCGCTTTCGCACTGAGGAGGCGTGGTAGTTTCGACCTGAGTGAATGCGCGGCTTGCGCTTGCTATTGTGTGTGTGTGTGTGTGTTGCTTTAGGGAGATTAATGCCTCGTGTATCGCTAGTCGCGAAGCTTGTCAGAAGGAATGGCTGTGTCGAAGAAGAAGCCTTTGGACGCCCTCACTTAAGCAGTCCGAGGTGCGCCTCGTGTCGCATTGCTTGGAAGGGGCTTCGACACGATGCAAGCTACCCTCCCTCTCTCACCCCTCTCTCTCACCTCTCTCTCTCCCTCGCTGCTTCAGTCGTGGCAGCAAACGACCTTAAGTGGCAGACGACGGGCATGTTCCGGCCATTCGTCGAAGTCAACCTCGTCGGTCCGCACCTCAGCGACAAGCGACGCAAGCATTCGACGAAATCGAAGAGCAACAACTGGTCGCCCAAGTACAATGAGACGTTTCACTTGTAAGTGAACTTACACTTGTAGTAAGGCAGCGAAGCACTTACATTTACTCTCTCACGAACGAATCGGTGTTATTCAGTCTATTTGACGAGCGTTTTACATCGATGACAGGTTACCCGTCCGTCTGGGTTTACCGTTAACTAGTGACAAAATATACACATCTATACAATACTTAATATATACAATAATACATAATGTATATAATATATATTTATACAATGTGTAGTACACTATAATATACACCTATTACAATAATATCTATATTAGACGATGTTTATATCGTAACTGCCCAGTATCGAACGCTTGCCCGTTTTCAGCGTCATTGTTTCTCAAATATAGCCATCACTTTTCATTATTCGTGTTTGGTATTCGTGTCTAATGATGGATTCGTTTCCTCTCTTTCAATCTCTCGCTCTCTCCCGCATCGCTGCAGCATTCTCGGAAACGAGGAAGATCCTGATGCCTATGAGCTTCACTTCTGTGTCAAGGATTACTGTTTTGCTAGAGAAGATCGCCTTATAGGTGAGACATTGACACTGACGTACCGCGGAAGATGCACTTACGTTATGATTAAGTATTATAAAATTGTATGTGTGTTATAAGTATAATCTTAATCGGCTATTAACTGGAGAACTGCTGTCGTTTTTATTCTTGTTTCTATATAGTAGTCTCGGACTCGTACAATTCTCTCATGTTTTCTCTTTTGGACATGTTACTATTTTTATTATTGGTACGTGCGTGCACGTGTGTACGTAAAAGTGTGGGTGTATGCGTGTGCGTGTGCGTACCTGTATGGAAAGCCATTACCGCCAAAACCTACCTATTTTAATCGCGCTTAAAACGCCAATCCAGCCAATCAGAACAGTGGTTTTTAATCGCGATTAAAATAGATTTTAAGCGCGATTAAAAACCACTGTTGTGATTGGCTGGAATTCAATCGCGCTTAAAATATATTTTAAGCGCGATTAAAATAGGTAGGTTTTGGCAGTAATGGCCTTCCATATACCTGCACTTGTAAACGCGCGTCACCGTACCAGAGCGCATCACCACGCGACCCCTTCACAGGCCATCATACCGCGTCATCCACCGATTCGTAAACTAACTCGAAATCTTCGTTTCCCTGCCGGCAGGTGTCGCCGTGATGCAGCTGCGTGACATCGTCGAGCAGGGCAGCTGCGCGTGCTGGTGCGCGCTCGGCAAGCGCGTGCAGCTAGACGAGACCGGCTGGACGATCCTGCGCATCCTGTCGCAGCGCAGCAACGACGAGGTCGCCAAGGAGTTCGTCAAGCTGAAGTCGGAGAGCCGCGGCCAGGAGGACCTCCCCACCTGATCACGCCCCGCCCCCCGTGCCTTCTCCCCTGGAAACCCGCACCGGGGAAGCTGAGACGACGACGCGAGGTTTTAATATCGGTGCGATCGCTGGTAGAGGGCGCACGTGTGCAGCCGGCAGGTGTCACCGGCGCGGCGGGCGCGTGTGGCGATGTCTCGCCTCGGGGGAGGGGGAGGATGGGGGGGGGTCGCGTCGTGGGCGGTGCGCGTTCGGGTTCCACGCGTCCGACCGTCGCGTGTCTGTGTGCGTGTGTGTGTGTTACGGAAAAGCAATACTGTGTCTCGTGAGACGTACCTGAGATGAAATTGCGTGCAATACTTGACGTCGGGGGGCAAGGATGCTCCCCTGCCTGCCCTCAGTCATTGTCGGGGCCTTTTGTTAATCGTAGATGTAGACTTTCTGAGCGCATTTTCTCCTCTGAGTCGGTGACCTACGTGGGTGTGTCTTTGTGGCGGTGGTGGGTGCCGTGAGGCTGCCTTGCGGTCAGGATAATGATGATAGCAATCTCCAGGTCGGTTTGTTGGCCATGCATTGGTATCTGCGGTGGTGGCGCCAGTGCTACTGCTGCGGGTGGTGATGGTGTTGATGGTGATGATGATGATGATGATGATGATGATGATGACTATGATGCCAATGTTGGTACCGATGTTGGCATTGTTGCTGCTGCTACTGATGCTGATGTTGCTGCTGCTACTGATGCTGATGTTGCTGCTGCTACTGATGCTGATGTTGCTACTGATGTTGATGGCAGGATATCTGACTCGATGTATGATACTAACAATGTCTAGCTTTCACGCCACGCTTCGCTAAGGTCACGGGCAGGCGCTGATACTCAGGGGAGAAATGTCGCCATGCCGACGACGATTCGCATGCTGCAAGTGGCTAACTGATGCCGAGGCCACACAACACAAGGCCTTCCCTCGTAATACGCTGACTCCTCTCCTGACATTCTGACTGCTCCCGACAAACACGAGACAAGAGACATTCCCGAAGACAGAAGACATTCCTGAAGATAGAAGACATTCCTGATGACAGAAGACATTCCTGATGACAGAAGACATTCCCGAAGACAGAAGACATTTCTGAAGACAGAAGACATTTCTGATGACAGAAGACATTCCCGAAGACAGAAGACATTTCTGAAGACAGAAGACATTCCCGGAGACAGAAGACATTTCTGAAGACAGAAGACATTCCCAGAGACAGAAGACATTCCTCTTTTTTCGATGTGTATTTATCAGAAACGATTTCCACGATTCACGACCGAAAATTCTTATTGAATTTCGAACGTTCTTATTGCGTTGAGATTATTCTAGGACATCCGATGTTAATTCCAAAGCTATCCTCCCTTCCCCCACACCACCCACCGCTAGCTGTGTGGCGGCGGTGGCGGCGGTGGCGGCGGTGGCGGCGGTGGCGGCGGATTCACGTGAGAAGTACGCTTTATTACTCACCTGATGGGTCACTCGATCATGAAATGCCAAGTAAGGCATGACTAACGCTGACCTCTGACACAGCTCAGTGCTCGGCAAGCAGTTAACCCCCCACGAACAACAGATCCACTAATACCTATACTCGGCAATGATAGCCACTTGCAGTATGATGCGTCTGTGTATGTATATATATATTCCAAAATTGTCTACCGTCTTGTTCATATTTTATTTTTTATATTCAGTAGCTGGGTTAGGCAGTGTACTCTGTGTTCAGTCGTAGCAAAAGCGTCCGAGCATTCGGCGCGGCCGGTCACGTGATTCGTGTTGGCAGCCGATAGTTGCCGGTTCAGGCAGAGTCAGTCATAGACTAGCTATATCCTAGACGGTCGCCATCCGTGCTTGACATATCTGCTTTAAATGTGTGAAGTGCGTCATTCGTCAGTCTAGCTCATCCGATTATTGTCGATAGTGCCAATTTCATGTTTTGACCATATTTTCCATGCAGTTGTGTCGGTAGTAGCTTGTGTGTGTGCGTGTGCGTGTGTGTGTACTGCCACACACTGCTGCTGTGATGTATATCTCCCACTCGATGAGCCCAGACTGCGAGGAATTGGCGCATAGAGTCAATAGAAAAATGTATTTACGGTGGAAGCTGTAGGTCTGTACATACATCTCGACACATACCTGAATACCTGAATCCTCATCTTCACACCTTGTTGGGCCGTGCACCGTTTGTCATCGCTGTTTGTTGTTCCCTCTCGTCTCTCTCTTTCTCTCTCTCTCTCTCTCTCTCTCGCTCTCTATCTCGCTCTCTCCCTCTCTCTCTCTCTCTCTCTCTCTCTTTCGTTCTCTCTTTCTCTGTCTCTTTTTCTCTGTCTCTGTCTCTGTCTGTCTCTCTCTCTCTCTTTCTTTCTCTTTTTATCTCTCTGTCTCTCTCTCTTTCTTTCTTTCTCTCTCATTTCGTTTTGCCCACATCTTTCTGTTTCTTTCTTCTTCACACTATGTGTCTTTTTTTTCTTTGTCCCTTCATCCTGTGTTTCGCACGGGCGTTTCTTTCGCATGCTCTGCAGACAATAAGAATTGAAGCAATAATGGAAGCGATGCTAAACCCCGTTCCAAAACATTTTCAATATTTGACTCCGCAATTTTATTTCGTTTTCGTTGTGCGCGTGTTTGCTAGCACGCACATCCCATGCGCGCGTGCATCCGTGCCCGCGCGAGTCCGTGGGTGCGTCTGGTGAGCGTACGCGTTTATATGTGTGTGCGCGTATCTGTGGGTGTGTTGCAAGCATGCACGCGTGCGTGTAAATGAGAGAGAGTGTGTGTGTGTGTGTGTGTGCATGCATACGTGCGTGCAGTTGCGTTTCCGTACGGTGTGCACTACTTTGTGATAAGTAGAGATGGGGTTTACAGCAGTAGTGCACGATAGATTAGCTTAGCAGGGACCGTTCACTGTTCTTTTGATTGAGTGTGTCTGTGGTATACGAGTCCTTGTTAGACCAATGTGTTTGGGAAAGCAAGACAAACCAAAGATTTTTATATACAAGACTAAATATTTAATTCAATTATTAATATAAATATAATTATCAAGCGATTTACTATAAATAAATATATATATATAAGCTGAATTTTCTATTGAAGAAGTATCATGTATAAATTGATTATAGATGATTCTGTATTGATTATTTATATAAATTTTGGGACCTAGTTAATGCTTTGAAGCTTCGCTTATGGTTATGCTGTTTCTGTTGAAGTATTTGACATGTTTGTTATGCAACAGAATGTATTATTTATATTGGCTTTTTATTGTGTAAGTATATATCTGGCCAGAGTGATGTGTACCCATCCACCATGTTGGACGATCATGATGTATAGAAGTTGTTTATTCAACAGGGTGACAGACCGTGTATTTTATATAATTAGGCATCTCGAGGTTAAGTTATGTTGCGTAGTCGTGGTTAGGATTAGCTTTGCATGTTCGCTTGTTTATTAATGCGGGCGAGACAGGCACACGGTGTGTGAGTTTCACAAGAGTCATCAAGTTTGATATAACGTTATAAAGTCGTTGTAATTTCTGAAATATGAGTTCCCGCAGATAGGTTCCGCAAGAGTCGGAGACCCGACAGTGGCTTAACATATGTATATATTAGCGCCCATGCATATATATATATATATATATATATATATATATATATATATATATATATAAGCTGGTTCGATATAAACATAGGTTCCGATGTGTTTCGGGCTACTGCATTTTATTTAGTTTAATTTATCTGGGTTAACTATTTCATCGCCTCGGTTTTTCGTTGCCGTCCGATTTATGAACTTGTGTTTCGAATCTCGATTCAACCGATCTTTAATCTCACTCAGAATCTGATTTGCAATCAGATTCATAGTCTTTATCTACCGTGCTAGGGTCGTTATTATTATGATTTTGCCGTTATGTTTCGTATATTATCGTGATTAATACTCCTGAGTTATTTATTTCGCTTACCGGTTTAAAATGGCGGCCTCTAGCGGCTGGCTGCTAACCTCTTCTCTCCCTCTCTAACTCGTCAGACGTGGGGTCGGCGGGAGACAGAGGAATGAGTGTTTAACGATGAGAGGATCTGATGGTTATTGTATAGCATCGTGGCGGTCGTTGTGGCGCAGGCGTGGCGTATTTTCGCTTCGCTCTCGTCTGCGCGCGACGCAAGAGAGAGGCGAACGCAAAAATATGTCGGTGGTTTTTTTTTTATCCGGGTAGATAGAAGAATCTTCCATTTGTTTTCTAGACGAGTTGCGGTGCTGCGTGCGCTTGCGTGCGTGCGTGCGTGTTTTATCGGTCTTGTCCGCTGTTTTGGGAAGGCTCCTGCGTGATCAAACCTCACCTGTTCCCGCCAGGGGGCGAGAGAGAGGCATCCGCTAGCTATAAGACAGCCGGCGTCGACACCAGGCATTAGGCTTTGTTATTGGCGATGTCTATCGTCGTCGGCGACGCTAGTGAAACACCGGATGTCGTCGGCCATGTTAACGGTATGCAATAACGATGTTCGGCTGAGCAAACTGCTCTAGCAACGGACGCGAAGGGGTTCGGTGGCGATTAAATTACGCGTGTGTCGCCCTCTGACGAGCACTGTAGCTACTACTATATAACCCGGCGAGCATTCTGCGGTGGGTGGTTTTTTTTGGAGGGGTATGTTCGGACTTGCCGTGAAGCTGATGTGTTCTTTGTGACCCTGATAAGCTGTTTTCTTTTTTCTAATTTAGGTGGGTATCACGTACTGGCTCTCTCTCTCTCTCTCTCCTTCTCTCTCTCTCTCTCTCGGTGCATTACATTAAATACTGTAGTTACAAGTGCTTTGCAGAATTTAATAAATCTTGATATTACATTCCACTGTTGACTTCGTGACTCCTTCTCTGTGATTGTCTGATGTTTTGGTTGCTGCTTAAATATGCGTGCGTGCGTTGATTGGCGTGAGCGTATGTGTGTGTGGCGTGCGTGCATGTGTGTGTGGGTTCGTGCGTGCATGTGTGTGTGCGTGCGTGCATGTATGTGTTCGTGCGTGCGTGCGTCTTCAAATGAACCAATGATGACGATGAATATACGGCCACTTTTTGGCTGCCGATTATCGAAACGCTGGTGATGCTAACGATAAGACACGTTCGCTGCTAACCCCCCCCCCCACCCCGTTAATTGTGAACGCACGGCAGCTCTGCGTGGAAGCAATCTCTACTTACAACCTCGCGAACTATAAGGCCAGGTTGTGATAAGCCATCTTACGGTCTCACGCCACGCAACCGCCAAGAGATGCGAGCCGTGAGAGAATGACTTTCAATGTATATACGTAATCCGACCAGAAGTATAAATAGAGGTACCTCCATTCTACTTTATGAATTCGACACGACTGCGGTGCACTGACGCTAGCACTATTACATCAAGAGCCATTAAACTTTTATTAATTAATGGTTAATGGGCTCTTGATTACATCTATTGTTAGCAGGCGCCTTCGCTAATGTCCGCCTTTTCTAGCAAGATGGTTATTGTATGACCTTTTTTTTCGTCGCAAGAACTGTCGCGGGTGTTATTACGGATGGCGAGCGATAAGCGCATGTGTAGCGTGCGTACGCCGCTATGCGCCATTTTTATTATGCGGATCATCTCTCAATATAGGTCAAGATATTACTACACGTAGACAAATCTAGCTTCATGCTTAGGCGATGCACATTTTACCGATTACCTTTAGCGTAAAGGTTACTGCTGAGTTTGTGTTCGTATAAGGCTATAAAACAGTCAATGAACAGCAACCTTGCGATTGGAATCTTGAGATTCGCGAAAGTAAAATGTGCGAACGCGAAAAACAAGTGACAGCTAGTTTAGGTGACGCATTTTTAGCTCATCTGACATAGTCAGATGCAGCTTGTTAGAATCCGCTGATCGTCGTGCGTCCGGTCCGTCCGTCGCGTGCGTCCGTCCGTCGTGCGTCGTCAACAGTTGCGGCACAAATCTTTAACCGCTCGACGTACGCGTCACGATATTCGGGACGTGGGGGGGTAATCCGAAAACGAGTTGGGATGTCGAAGCTGGGGGTCAAAGGTCAAAGGTCAAGAGGTTGTTAAATAAGGGGGAACATTCACTCCTTAACTTAAGGTATAGGAG